CTCTGGTACTCTTCATGCATGACCAGGGAAAGCCCTCAAGCTCTCTGCTCAAACTTCCCTATCCTTCTGATTCATCAAAAAATGCTGCTACCTAGTTTACAGACTCTTGCAAAGGTCCGTTGCTAATGCATATAGAGACATAGATTTAGAAACAAGACAAAATTTAAAATTCATATTCCCACTTAAAAAGCATTAGATGATTTTTATTTGTAACTACAATTTAAGCACATCCAAAGCAATCCCTGCTCCAAAGATTATGCTCCCATTAAAAAAAGAAATAAAAATCAAACAACCTTACTTCTGAAGAACTACTGATTGTAATACTTCTAGGAGCAGCCACTGCTACTTAACATGTTCCTGAAAATTAAAGCAAGCAGCATGTTACATTTACTGCCTTAGAACTGAGTTACTGTGAGTTCTGAGACTATTCCAGAAGCATTTTCCTGTATCTGTCCTACTACTTCAATTGCTTCACTTAACATTTGGCCGGGCAGTGTCAAGAGGCAGGATGCTGGATCCCAGCCAGGGAGTGCTGAAACCCTATTTCCCAGCTGCAGAGAAGAATAATTTAATTACAAAGCTTCGGAAATTTTGATCAGGTGGAAGAAAGTGGGCAAAGGAGGAAGACGGCCTATTGGAGACAGCTCACACTGCCGAAAGCTATGGAAGATGCACAAGGAGGAGCTCAGATCCGTGACGCGGTGCTGGATGACAGTTCCCAGACTGCTGCTGCGTGTGTCACTAAACAAACACTTGGCGCCTGGCGGACCAAAAGCCACCCTCGGCGACAAGGGATGCAGCAGAGCATCGCGATACCCCGCACGCTCGCTCCTCCCGGGGCTCCTTCCCGCCACCGGCGCGGCTGCAGCAGCCCGTCCTTCGGAGCAGCAGCTGCGGGAACGCAGCGAATCTGCTGATTCTGCCTCCACTGCCCGAGGAAGGCGGGACTTAATCCGCGCTGCTTCCCAAGCTCCAAGGAGCTCTCAGCATCTCCTCGCTCAGCACACGCCCTTTCTGAGGTGCACCTTTCCCGCTCCGGACGCAGGAAGCATCACCGTGTCCCGCCTCAGAG